GAAACCCAATGGGACTTTATTTTTTCAAAAATCCCGGTACATTTCTTAAATATATTAATTATCGTCAATATTTTTTTTTAAGTTTGTATTTCGCCCACACGACGTTCACACTACCTGTATATTATCCTATTTTAAGGCTAATAAAGATATTATTAAGGCTATTTCTAAAGCTATTGTTTTACAAATTATAATAAAAAATCGCTTAATCTTACAACGAAACATGCAAACAAGTTAAAAATAACTAAATTAGTAAACAAACACACAAAAAAGCTTAAAAAAAAAAGGAAAATTGTGAGTAAATGGAACTGTTTAGGTTGTCTTCCGTAGTGAATAATTGTTATTTAATTAATTATGAATGTTTAGTTTTTATTTTATTTTATGGTTATCTATTTTCTATTTTAAGAGTACAGATAAGACCAGATTTATGACCAACATTAGAACGTTTTTCGTGGACATTAATGAAAATTTAGCAACTTGAAGATAACATTTCAACAAAAGCATTCGCACTCTTGCTGTAACTTAAACAACTATTGCACTCTAGTGATTTTCTGCTTTAAATATAAACTATTACAATGATAGCAATATCCTTTAGATAGACTAAGTTTAAGCTGCGATCTTAGCCAAACTTCGAGCTATAAAGGGGACCACCCCGCGCCAGCATCCCCCTTAAGTGTAAATAGCTGTTTGTTCAAACTACAATAGAGTTAAAAGATTCGATTAAAAGTTATTCCAAAGATAACATTCTTAGTGGATGGGACTTTTATATTAAAGTATGCCTAATGATTTATTATATTTACGCGAATACTACACATTAAATGAAACTAATTTTTACGGATTTTATCGCGTTTAATTTTTTTATTTTTTTTTTTTAACTTTTTAATTCCCGACGTTTCGGGTGCTTTACTGCACCCGTGGTCACGGGGCGGATTGAGGTGGTTGACGTCCCGATGTCACAGTTAGCTCGGCTACCTTCAGTTTTTGAATATTACTTTTTGGTCCGATCTACGCAGAATGAGCTAACAGTATCTTGAAGTCTTGCAGTGGTATATGCTTGGGCTTGGATTTAATTTTATTAATTATAGGATCACAAGCAGATGGCAGCACCCATCCATCTTCTCTATTGAAATTAGGATTTTTTTTTAATTTCAATAGCCTCGCGAATCATCCTTGGTGGGAAAGGTGTTCTTTTGCGAGGATTTGTGGTCTATCAAATCTCATGTAATGGCGTGGACGATCTAGAACATATTCACACACTGCATACTTCCCGGAACGTCGGTGATTCAAGTCAGCTATAGCATATACCCTATATGTTCTTTCACGCGGGTTTTAATAGATCTTTTTGTTTGTCCTATGTAAGAGAGACCACATTCACAATCCAGCTTGTACACTCCTGCATCTTGTAAAGGGATATGACACTTGACTGGTGGTAAAAATTGACTAATCTTCTTCGACGGCTTGAAGTATGTTTTAATGGAAGCTCGCTTCAAGATGTAGTCAGCCTTGTCTGTGACTCCTCTGACATAGGGTAGTACAGCAGACACACGCTCGACTGTGGCCGGCTTCACTCGATCACTGTGAAGTAGGCGCGGGACCCGAAGCTTGTTGTCTTGCTATACTTGCTCGACGTGCTGAAGCTCGGTGGCTGTGACAGAAAACATCTGGCCGCTGAGTTTATTTACATTAATAGTTATTTTTTCAGTATTCCCGTTAGATACGGTAAAACTAATATTACATTTGTAATCCATAGGTTATAAAATCGACAAGTATTTCATTGAGTTACACCACAATTCGTGGTGGGCCCATTCTCCATACAACAAGAAATTGTTTTATAACGAAAATCGATCAAATATGACGCAAACATGCAAATATATCAATAGTTCTGGAAGATAAAACCGATAATATTAAAATGCTTCACAGCCTGTTATTAGTTTTATTTTTAACCCCGAAGAAAAAGAGGGGTGTTATATGTTTAACATGTGTATCTGTGTGTCCGTGTGTCTGTCTGTGGCATCGTAGCTCACAAACGGATGAACCTATTTTGATTTGTTATTTTTTTGTTCGAAAAGTGACTTAATTAAGCATTATTATGATTTAAGAAAATCAGCCGTTTGAAGATAACCAGCTATTTTTAAAATGTTTAATGTTAGTTATTGACTTAAAGTTTTGCGTTAAGAGTGAAGGGACTTTGATACTAAAAAGTAGTAAAATTTTTTTTTATAGGATCGAATGACAAACCAGCACTCAGTCCACCTGATGGTAAGTGATTGCTGTGGCCCATAGACATCTACATCTATCATCGATTACAAATCAAAATGCAGATGCGTTGTCACCCATGTCTCCGGTTCTCTACACTCACTATACGAAATACAGCAGCATTAAGCTGCTACTTTACGCTGGTATTCTGCGAGAGCGTGGTCCTTCCCCGGTCGAGCCGACCCATTCGTGCTACAAATATAGCTGCAGCATGGCTCTACCACGTTAAAACCCACTTCAATATAAATTATTAAGGATAACTCAAAAACTATTGGTCTGACCTTGATCAAATTCACCACACATTGGACCACACGAGAAGTACCAGCTTTCAAATAAAAAAGAATCATCGAAATCGGAAAAAAGTTATGAGGTAACATACATAAAAAAACATACAGTCAAATTGAGTACCGTCTCCTTTTTGAAGACGGTAGAAAATGAGAACATGATCAATGTAGTCGAAGTCAATTCAATACGCATTATTATATATAACTGAAAAACTACTGCGCAGATCTTGATGAAATTTATATGGGATGACATGAGAAGCATCACCTTTCAAATAAAAAAAAATAATCACCAAAATCGGTTCACCTAGAAAAAAGTTTACACATAAAAAATACACCCGAATTGAGAACCTTCTCCTTTTTTTAAAGTCGGTTGAAAATAAAATTAAAAAAGTGAAGTAACAGCCAATAATATACATATCCCACATTTGAGCACAAGCATCTCATTTCTAAAAGGGTTTTGGAATAATTCGTCTGCTGAACTTCACCAGCGTGTGATGGCCGACTACTCATAACATCGAAATATTTTCATTTCTTCGATATGCAGGTTTCATCACGCAACTTGTTCAACGGTAAATCAGCACTTCAAAATTACAATTTACAATTTCATTGGTGCCAGCTTAGATCAAACCTGGTTGCTTGCGTACAGTAAAATCTACCCCTGAGTTACAACGAATTGGTGACTACAATATACTAGCGTGCTATTAAGATATTCATTTTTACTTCACCTGTTTACAGCCAAATGTGGGTGGCTCTTATGTAATGACAGGTGCTTGGAAATTTGCCAGATTGAACGCCTTAACAAATGCAGCGCTGGAATATGTTTACCATTTAGAAATTTCGATTTAGCAAATGTGCTGAAACAGTACAAACTTCATTCCTTTTTACCTGTAACTTTACAACTTCAAAATTTTGTTTTCTTCTACACTATTCATTTTCTTTTTCTTGTTCTATTTCATTTTCTTGTACGTGGTAGAGCCATGCTGCAGCTATATTAGTAGTATAGTTGTAGCACGAATGGGTCGGCTCGACCGGGGAAGGACCACACTCTCACAGAATACCAGAGTAAAATAGCAGCTTAACACTGCTATGTTTCGTATCGTGACTGTGGAGAACTGGAGATCCTTTTTACTGGAAAAGAGGCATTCCATCTTAGTCCTCACGGGTGACAACGCATCTGCATTTTGATTCGCAAACGAGGATAGATGTAGATGTCTATGGGCCACAGCAACCACTTACCATCAGGTGGACTGTGTGCTCATTTGTCACCCTTATGCTATTAAAAATAACTAATAACTAACATTATAAAAAGGTAATATGAGTTTGTAAGTTCGTATGTATTTAATCACCGAATCTACTGATCCGATTCTGAAAAATCTTTCACGATTAGAAGGATACATTATACCCGAGTGCCATAGGCTTTATATTATTTTAATAGTAAGGTTTGAAATCTTAATAATTGTAAGTCAAGCCAGAAGAAAAAGCGCTGCTCGACAAATATATCGGTGTGAACTGGCCAAATGGTTGGTTGAGCTAAAAATTATATAATTCAATTTAAGACATCAGTAGGTCAAAAAGTCTGTGATAAAATGCCTAGCTTTTTTTGTTAAAAGTAATATGAAAATTTAGGGCAATAATATTTTTATTCTTTTATTCGTTTGTTATTCACGTATTTTTCCTCAAAGAGATAAGCAGTACCCCAACATAAATCACTTTTCATTTTGTACGTTACATTTTCGAGGGTACGTAATTGTGTCAGTGGTAACTACTGATCCGATTCTGATAATTGTCGACCGGGTAAGGAAGGCTCTCACAGAATACCAGCGTAAAATAACAGCGTGTTTCATATGGCGAGTCTTTCTAACAAGGCATTCTATCTTTATCCTCGGGATTAACAACGCATCTACATTTTGATTCTTAACGGAAAATAGAAGTAAATGTCTATGGGCCACAAGTCTTCATTTAACAGCAGATGGACTGTGTGCTCGTTTGACATTCTATTCAAAAAAATCTATGTTCATAAGTGGACCTTGGAAAAACGCTGGTGAAAACAATTGATTTAATACAACCCTAATTCATTTTTAACTCAATACAGCCAATCAAAATCTAAAAAAGAGCCGTGGTAGCTCAGATGGTTAGCGCTCACTGTAAACTTCAGAGTACGCGAGCAACCCGGGTTCGATCACCGCCGGCACCAATGAAATTCTTAAGTGCAATTTTATGTGCTGATTTACCACGTGTTCGGCGGTGAAGAAAAATATCTTAAGGAAAAATGCATGTCTGAGAAATAAGAAAAAAAAATTGAAGACATGTGAAGTTCGCCAACAGGCATTGAGGCAGCGGGGCGTATATAGGCTGTAAATTTACTTTACTTGTTTACTTTTATCAAAGTCTGTTGCTGAAAATAGGTTTGTATAAAAATACTAATTTTGATATTGTCGATGATAAAATTATTTTTGTCACTAGGGTACAAATTTGCAAGGAACTCGGAGAGGTTGGAAAGCGATACAAGCCTGGTGTATAGCCTGGTGGCACTCTGGACGAGAAGATCTTGAGGACACCGAGGCAGAGGAAGAACAATCAGACCCTGGCTATGCAACGCCGGTGTCTGTAGAAACGCCTCTGCAAAGTTCTGTGTCCAGGTGAGGTAACAGTTAATATAAGTACCTATGTTTTATGCAAAAGGTTATTTATTTAAAATTTATTATTTTTTAAACATATTATGAGTTTAGTTTGATGGAAGATAAAGAGTGCACTTGTACTTGGCTAGTCTGCGTTGAGATTTTTGACGTCATCAAAATTTGGCCTGGAGGACTTACCTAACATAATTTTAATAAAAATTCAATACACGTCAAAGGTTAGATGGCAGAGAATGCCTTTTTGGAATTAAGTTCGCTAAAATTTTTTTTTGTTTGAGTGCAATAAATAATTTTCTATCTATCTATCTATCAAGAAAATCATCGTTTTGTTTCATGACCACTTACAGAAACTATTTATCGCTATTAGTCAGGATAAATAATGTAATTTCTTTTGTTGCGATTACAACAAATGGTTTATCTCGTTATTATTAAATTAATTTAAAAGCTAACAAAACAGCGGGGTTAATTCCAATCGACATTCTTTGCCAGTCACCCCATGATAAGGTGAAAAGTGGCGAAACATGCCTTATAATTAGATACAGTAAAGAAATGTTATGATGGTTTCTTTCAGTTTCAAAACGGTAGATAATTATTGTAATTAGGTGTACTTAGTTCAATCCATCTTTTCAGGTGTACATCGCTTAACGTTATAAGAGATCCGTTCGCAGCGCGCGGTGGATCCGGTGGTTCGACAGCTGGCGATGGAGGCACGTCACCTCTCCGTAGAAACTTCGAGAATCCTACAGCTCCCATACCAGCAGCAAGGGACAGTCGCTCACTGCCGCCTAACACCAGAATTAACACCGCCGCTTCACCAGCTCCTAAATCGGCATCAGCTGATTCAGTGTACACTATCCTCATAAGATTACCAGATGCGGACACGGAGAGGCCTAGCATTAAAATGATAACAGAAGAGTCACCACCGTCTAATGCGAGAACCCAATATCGACCACCAACTAGAGGCGATTCTGAATTCAACCTCCACCCGGGTGGTCATGCTGCGTTGACAAGAAGAACATCACATATACAGGATGTTAGAATTCCTCTAAATGCTAAAATAATTCCCAAACAGCTTGCTGGTAAGGGAATTACTTCAAAGCAACCTAAAAAGAAGAAAACTCAGGAAAAGAAGCAAGAGACAAAAGCGGCTAAAACTTTATCCGCTATCCTCTTATCCTTCATCATAACCTGGACGCCTTATAACATTCTCGTGTTATTAAAACCTCTTACAGCGTGCACTAAATGTATCCCAGACGAACTTTGGTCTTTCTTTTACGCGCTATGTTATATTAATTCTACTATAAATCCAGTCTGTTACGCTCTATGTAACGCAACATTTAGAAGAACGTATGTCAGGATTTTAACGTGTAAATGGCACAACAGGAATCGAGAAGCTATGACTAGAGGCATGTACAATTAAACTCGAAAAAATAATAATTTAAAATTGCGCTTTAAAAAATATTATTTTTAAAATTTTGTACCAAAATTCTATTGCCCAATTTTGGTACTTGGTAGGAGATATAAAAAAAATATTTTGGGAGTAAATCGAAAAGTCGTATGTGATTTTTAAATTTACTTACAAATTTACAAGTTGTATAATAAATATATATTTTTTCGTCTTATTAAATTAACGATGAAAGAATTTTAACTGCATTAGTGACAGCGCAGCGTCTGCATAAATTCCGATTAAAATATTTTCTTTTTAAATTTAAACGAAGCATTTTGTTTTTAAACAATAATAATACAAGAAACCTTTAATTTGGACGTGAAATATGTAATGATAAATTTTTCATTTATTTAATTAATTTATGCTCACTTAACTTTTCACATAATATTTTACGTATTAATTTAAATGAGGTGTTCCTAAAGCAACGAAGGAAAACCGCTTGTAAAATGCGATTTTAAAATTGTCTTTTAAAAGATTTGGTGTTTATATTTTCTTTTTATTAACAAACCATTGTTTTATCTATCTAAGTGATCTGACATCTGACAGACATTCCAAATTTCGTTAGTGATTCACTCGTCCCGTCCATCATTAGAAGCATTATTTGTAATTTCGTAACTTTTTGTGATAGGCCTTGTTATAGGTTCATTTTATTATTTTTAATTCACCAGTCTTCTGTTGTAAGAAGATCGTTGTTAATTGCTAAAAATAAAAACAAATTTAAAATACCAATGTATTTTAAGAATGACTTAGAATGTAGTTAAAAAATGGAAATGGTACATAAGAAATGGAAAATTCTAGTAATTAATTTCAATAAGTACCTATTTCTCTAGTAAAATATTTCCATTATTCTAATAAAGTGTGAGCTTTTAGAATTAATGTTGTCGAACTTTTTTCTTTTTTTTATATTGAGCTGGTTTTGACATTATTTTTTTTTTAATTTCATTCCCGGCAATTGGATGCGATAGATTCTGTTTTCTTAGTTTAAAAGTGTTATTAATGTACAGATAAAATATAATTCTGAAGACGCAATCGAGTTTCCCTAAAATATTTTGTGTTAATAAATAAGATGATGATATTTCTTAGCTCTTAAACTTATTTTAATAAAATAGTAAAAAGTAGTGCAGTGACCAAAGTTTAAACTAAAATAATGTAACATGGATTAGGACTAATTTAAATACTTATTGACGTTTTAAGTCTTCAAGAGAGAAATGTGAGCCTTGTTTTTCAAACTCTACGTGTATTTGTCTTGTGCTGATTCGTATGTTTCGTATTTGTAGAAAAAAAGCAATACCACCATTCCTGTATGGGAATTTTGTAATTAAAAGAATTGCGAATGGTAATTATTATATAAGCATTTTTAATTAATCGAATCACTCTTAATTTACGCTCGTGTTATTTATAATAATACTTTTTCTGTAAAATTGAATAGATAGAACTTATTTAATAAATACTTACTATTATACAACGATTACAAATTATCTAGACGTGATTCCCTTTGCAATGTCTCTCTCACTTTTTAAGACGTTTGTTTTCATCGATGCACACAATTAATTAAACAATCGATATTTTCTTCGCTCTCGTGGAGTCACTATTATGATAATATATAAAAATAACAATTGTGTGAAGCTGTAGCCTTTATATGTAAATGGCCGTATAATATTAGTTTAATTAACACACAATTTTAAATGTTACAGTTTGTGCAAGCCATAAGAGTAAAACTAAAAATAATAAGATAATCTTGTTATTCAAGTGGAAATATCAATTGAATTCTAAATATATGCATGAAAATCCATTTCACATCAGTCGATCTAAAATAAAACATGGCTGTACAATACAGTGTGTTATAAAATCATTTTATTATCTTAATTACTTCATTTACAGATAATATAAATATTATGTTAATGCTGAATTATTAATGCAGAAGAATTTTAAATCAACCTGTATATATCCAAATTAAACTAACTTCATGACAGCTTTTATAAACGATCTGTATAAATGAAACCAAAGAAATTGTAAATATATTATTACACTTGATTACATTAATAAGTTTATAATATTTGTATCGAAGTTATGTAATAGTAAAATACTATTCAAATATTACCTAAACAAACATATGTGTGTAAAAATTTATGTAACGTATTTATATTATGCACATCTGAACTCTATGTGTCGTACAACGTTCCTTTGTTGTGAATAAGGTGGATTAACCAATTTATTAAAAATATATATATGTGTAGAGACATAGAATTATTGTAATGATATATCAAAGTTAAAATATTTAAGCCCTAGACTTTGTGGAACATATTATAAAATGGTGAATTGCGCATTTTAAAAATGTATATCATAATAATTGTCCCATTTCTTACGTGGTGTACTTAAATTGTTTAATTTTTTAAATTATGTTTTCGACTATTATGTCAAACTGATATATATCAAAAAATAAAACAAAAAAACATGGGTAACAAAACTGGCTAGATTTAATGACATTTTATTATTCTTCGTAATATCAAATATTTTTAATGTAAAGTCATCACAATAATTTCTAAATGCGTGATTCTACCAATATATCCATGTAGTAACAGCCAAAATTATTACAAATCACAGTTTGACTTCATACATTTACTAAGATATGTATCCTTGTAGCGTTGCGCTACTTCACCCCCTCCATCCTCTTTTGCTAAAGTATAACTTTAACGAGGGTGTGTGCACTGGCGCTCTCGCTATGTTGGTGAAGCCATGATTACAAGGTAGGTTTATCTTTTTTTAATTAGACTGTCAAGAGAGAATTTTTTTTTAAATTAAAACAGTTCACCTAATGATAATTTGTTACTGCAAAGCTTAAGAAGGCCGCAGATTCTTTGTCGGTGAGGACTATGTGGCGGGTGGAAGGAAAAGGAGAGAACTCCCGCCGGGCAAGGTGTTCTGCCCGGGGAGCAGCCAACGCTTCCGAGTTGTAATTCGGAGATATTCTATATATACTGCTTTAACTTCGGAACTTTGTTAGCGCGATTTAGGCTTCGATGTGTTTCTGTGATGTGAGCGATGAACTGTGAAAGGAGAAGTGAAGGATACCAGAAGGAACCAAAACTGTAGCCTATGTAAAATAATCAGTAACCAGCTGAATTATGGGAGTCACGGTGTTAGTCCGCCGCGCAAGCCCAATGCCTGTTGGTAGATTTCACACACGCATTTTATCCTTCAGAAACGCAAGTCACAATGTTTCCTACACTACTGAACGCAATCGGCACAAAAATTGCAAAAAACATATTCTTTAGTACCAATAGGAATCGAACATCTCTTTTACTTATTACCAGTGCTTGATCACAATTCCACGTGGTGGTAAGTGGTGATGAAACCCTAGATGGCAATTCACACTGTCTTAGCGTAATAAAAGCCTATTATTCACTCTTGCCTTGAAGACGCCCAGATTGTATTCGGATGGAAAGACAGACACCGGTTAATTATTACACTCCTTTCTCATGTAGTTACTACTAAATTTTAGGTGAGTGCTCTTCTCTGATCAACCACGGCTCTTACGAGCTTATATGTTCTTAGCTTATATTACAGTTTTTATTTGCAGAAAACACTCAGCTAAATTATAAAAAGCTCTCAGTTAAATTTCATTTTATAAACAGTTATATTATTTTACATTTTATTCATTCATTTCATAGACTCTCACAAGGAATGCCAGAAAGCACGGTCCTGACCCATCTGCATCCAACGACTTTCTACATCAATTACCAGGTCGTCACTTCATCTAATGTGGGGCCTATTACCTGGCCTCAGCACTTTCCCGATCCAGCCGTCCCATTCGTGCTACAACTATACTAATAACATAGCTGCAGAGTGGCTGTACAACGTAAAAAAAACGTTGTCGATTCTTCAAGCTATATGGCCGGCCTATTGCCACTTCAGCTTACTTATCCGTTGGGCTATGATGGTTACTCTGGTTCTACTGTGAAACTCCGAGCATAGTCCTCTCCATAGCTCAACGTAACGTAACAACTCTAACAATGTCTTCCAAATAGTTAGGTAAATTAAAAACTTCATCTCCTATTTAAATTTTAGATTATAGAAAGAAACATTAAAATCGGTTTACTATGGACAAAGATATCGTGAAGCATATATGTATACAAAAAAAGAACATATAGGCGAATTATGCGCTTCCTCCTTTTTTGAAGTCGGCTAAAATACGCTAAATATCATCGAATTTTATTATATAAAATAAAATGCAAAAAAAACCAATGTTTTCCCAAGTGATAAATAATGCGGTCGCAGATGCGCGACAAGCTTTCACATGCTTTGTTTTTCTTAGAAATGGATTGTAGTTTGCAGTTGAGACGTCTTCCATTTAAAAACAAAGAACCCCGTCGCATAATTTGCTCTCCACCGTTGTTATCATATTGCATTATGAGACTTGAATATTTTGTAGTACTTTGGAAGTCAGGACCCCCGCCTTGAATATCACACTACGCGAGCAATGGGAGTAACACCGTTGCCGTCGGGGTCACTGAAATTGTAGATTGCAGTTTGAATTGCTGAAATTAACATTATATTTTCAGAGTATGTGGCATTTAACTATAAGTGCTAAGGAATCCTTTTCTACTATACAATTTTTTTTATGGAATTTTTTATTATTTAACACATTAAGATATTTACATTGTTACCGTTTTACAATTTGTCAAACTGTTCAGTAGTTTGTTGGCAAAAAATTCTCTCTTACTTCTAAACATGAACAAAAAAATAGTTTCATACAAATACATAGCATTAGCGAGCATGCATTTACATTATGATAATATTTCAAATATAACAAACCATTAGTATTAACATAACATTAATCAGGAATTTAAATGACAATGGCATTTTGCATATGTATGTGTGTATGTAGTACACATAATATATACATATATATACATACACATATACGCATAATATATCATAACAGCTTACGTTGTTGTAATATGGATAATTAT